AATACTAAAGGAGATTTTTGAAGAATGGGGCCAGAAATTAGTAGCTACGATGTCAGCAATGTCAACAATGAAGTCTGCTTCCATGGATAGACTATGTCCAAAAGATACCAATGAAGTTGTTTGCTTGGAGAAAGATCAATTACTACATTTATTATTGACTGGAAACTCCGTATGGACTTTTTGTTGAAAAAAGAAAAAAATGAACTGATGATTTATGGATTTGATTATTAGAAACGGTAGATTATGGAAAGAAGGAAACTTTGATGTAACTTTAGAGAGAGAGGATAAAATATAAATGTACTTATAACTGCTGTTAAGAAGATCAGAAGCCATTTCTTTATTATTATTTGCTTTTTCCTTCTTTTCTATCTCTTTTTATTTCTTTTTCACTTTTCTATTACTTTTCTTTATTTCTGTTATCTTTAACTTAAAATTTGTATTGTTTTTACCCTGTGGAAAAACTTTAACAAAAATTATATATAAAAAAACAAAAACAAAAGATGCTAATGAAGGAATGACGGATGTGAAACAAATTTTACTTGATACAGAAATAGTAGAATCAAAAGTACTGAATAACAAAAAAAAGTGTGGCTTACAAGATAGAGAAGGCAGCTAAAGTGGAAATACAAGCGACAAGCCAAAAGAATGACCTGGATAATGACTTTTTACTGGATTTACAAAAGAGGTTTGCTAAAGCCTCAAAGAAGCCTTTGGGATGGGAAAAAGAAAAATTGAAGAGAGACCAAATCCTATGACATCTGAATAAATTAAAGATCAAGTTTGTTAGAAGGAAGGAATATAAAGTTGGTTTGTTTGACCAAGGTTAAAATAAGACATGTTTCTATAAAGCACTCGTAACCCTTTACAGACTTTTTGCTTACGCCAGGCCTGAAAAGTTGATGATTTAAAGATTTGCAAATAGATAAGGGGTAGGTTATGGGAAGAAGAGATATTTATTTGTAACCTTATAGGGGGGTGAAGAGTTATCAAATTTGTTTATACTTGTGATGAAGATTTATATATTTCTTTTCTTTTTCTTACTTTCTTCTTTTTCTTCTTCTTTCCTTGCACGTTTTATTCTTTCTATTTCTCTTTTTTCTCTGAGTTTAGTTTGTATTTGCTTTTACTATTGTAATAACAATTTTCAATAAAAATTATAAAAAAAGAAAAAAATTACTGACGAGTGATATGCTATCACTTTTCAAATGTCTGAAAGATTGTTTTACAGAAGAATGGACTATTGCACCAGAGAGCAAGACCAGGACCAAAAGGTTGAAATTACAGAAAAAGCAGATTCAGGCTACACATTTGGAAGAACTTCCTGACTACAAGTTGTCACTAACTGAACTGAGTTCTCGTTTGCTAGACGTCTTCAAGGAAATGCTGGATGTTTATCTGTCAAAGATACTTTAGAAGATCCTAAGTTGAGCAGGGAGGGTAGATTTGATTACTTCTAAGTTCTCTTCCAGCTCTGTGATTCCATGATTTACCAGCTGTCATTGTTACAATAATAGTTTTTTCCAAAAAGCAAATTATTTTAATGAGACACAGCTACCAAAGAAAATTCCTCTAACCTTGGAAACAGATTGCAGATTGTAATGCAGATAACCTTTAAACTGGTGTGATGGTAAAAGTGTGAGCTGCATTCACTACCAACCTTATAAGATGGCCCCCACCCTCGCATATATGTGAACTGCTTAAAATGTCCTTGTAACAAAACGTTCACAGTAAGCTGAACTGACCCGGAGTGGCAACGGGGAAAAACAAGACAGGAACAAGCGGCCCCTGAAACTACATTGTTTGTATTTACTGACCATATCTCAAGTTAGTATAGCTAGAATGCTGACCTAGTAGGAAATGATAAATAATAGTGTTACATAGATGGGCTTATTGAAAACATTCCAAAGTCATGCTATAATTTGCAGGATGTCTGCCTCTTTCTTTCTGTGTCTTGTCTTTGTAATATAACAGGCCAAAACTATATAAGCTATGTTTCTGTTTTTATTCAAGGCTGCTCAGCAAGTTGTCAATGCTTTGCTGGAAGCCTGATATACACTGTAATTATTTGCATGCTTAATAAATTTATGTTGTATCTTCAAAGTGATTTAGTCAATTTAAGTGAGTCAGGTTTTGGCCACAACACTGGAAACATTTCAGTTTTACTTAGTGTAAATGTCATGACCTCTACAGGTAGTCCTCAACTTAACTTACAACCACAATTGGGACTGGAACTTCTGTCACTAAGCGATGCAGTCGTTAAGTGATTTGTGCCAGATTTTACAACCTTTTTTGCCACAGTCATTAGGCGAATCACATGGTTAAGCAAATCTGGCTTCCCCCATTGACTTTGCTTGTTGGAAGCCCCTGGGGAGATTGAAAATGGTGATCATGTGACCAGATCATTCCGGTTGCCAAGCACCCAAATTTTCATCATGTGACCATGGAGACACTGTGACAGTCGTATGTGCAAGGACTGGTCATAAGTACTTTTTTCAGCGCCATTGTAACTTTGAACGGTCATTAAATGAATGGTTGTAAGTTGAGGACTACCTGTCCACAAGAGAAGGAGACATCATGCTTTAGGGAAAATCTAAGGTTTACAGAATTACAAACAAACAAAAAAATCCTTTAGGAAACAAATGCTCAGAGGCAATAGAATACTGACTGATTCCTTTGGGGAGGGGAAAGAAAAATGGCTGGATAAGGAATCAAATGAAGTGTCCTTAACATCATATCTTGCTATAATATTCTTTTGTATCTCAAAGTGTTCTATAATGCTAGTTTGCAGATGCACAATAGAAAATTTCAAATAACAGATTTCAAAGTATTTTTGTTTAAAGAAATATAGTGTTCACTGACTTTAAATATACTGCATATACAACATCTTAAATGGAATTTCTGAGCTTTGTTATAACTTTTATTTATAGTCTAGAAAGAAACAGATATGGATATGTCATTCATTGGTGTTGCTTTATTCAAACTTGTGTCTTCTTTAGAACTAAAGGGAAAATAGCAATTGTTTAATTCTCAAATGACTAAGAACTATTTTTATAACATTTTCAATTAATACTATAATATATTAATTTACCTTAATTGCTATATTGTTTGATTCTGTTGCCCCACTGGTAAAAATTATTTCTCTAGGATCTGCTCCTATTAATGAAGCAACTTGCTGGAGGGAATAAAAAAAGAATGCCAGAATATAAATTAGAGCAGAGTTGTTCAGAAAAAATCTGTAACATTTTTCAGAACAAAATTGCTTAAACAATGCAGCAGAAATAGATGTATTATTTAATTGAAAGAACAAAGCAATATTCTCACCTGTCTGGCTTTTTCCATTGCAGTTTCACTTTCCCAACCATATGCATGAGTTCTAGAGTGCGGGTTGCCATAGTAATGCACAAGATAAGGTAACATGCTATCCAAGACCCTTGGGTCCTAGAACACAAGATACATAGCATCCCATTTTACTTCGTTTTGTTCTTATTTAATCCCATGAATATCAGGAATATCCAGTTCTGTTAACAGAGATGCAATCTGTGCATGTAGATGCATATATAGTAGGGCAGTGCAGTGATCCTAATTCAAAGGGGGAAAGATTATTTGGAGAGTATATGGGGCATGGACATTGCACCTTTCAGCCTCTCCTTAAATCAAGCATGTCCTTTCCTAGGACAGTACAGCTTATTTAAGAAGTTTCTGACAGATGTGAGTACCTGTATGCTCCAAATAATTTTTCTCCTTTGAATTCAGATCATTACACAGCTTTAATATATATACATCCATATAGCATTAGGCACTTTTTAAAAATAAAAATGGATATAAAGATGTAAACATTCAAGTCAACATATCTTCTCACTAATGAGGGTTAATACAATATATGAGAGTGTATGGATCAAACCTTATGAACCATAGTAGGCCACTTTGAGACCTCCAGATATTTTGGATTACAACTACTACTATTCTAACCACTCTGACTGATGATGATGGAAGCTTTGTCTAAAACATGTGGAAGCCACCACAGAGCCAGTGCAACAAAGTGATTAAAGTGTTGTACAAGGACCCCCAGATTCAAGGCCACCTGTAACCATGGGAACTCTTTATTGACTTTGGGACAGTCACACTCACTTTCAATCCAACCTACCCTACAGGGTTGCTGTTGTGTGAAGAAATAAAGGGAGATCTCTACATAACCCACCTTAAACTCTTGGAGAAAAAGCAGTATTTAAATGTCTATTCCTAAGGATCATTTGACTGCAATGGGACTTGTCTCTGAACAACTGTGCAGAGGACCACCCTGTAAACACAGTTTAGTTTTATTTTTCTCTCAGTAAAGAACAAAATCTTCCCAAACCAGAATTTAGTTCACATACCAGAGGGGTAGTTGCTTGGACATCCATGTATAGTGGCCGGAGTGAAGACTCATCAACGTGGCCTTTACCTAGCAAAAGACAGCAACATAACCCTGAGAAACGCACTTTGAAATTGAGGGAAATAATGACTCTGAACTCCACGTTCCTAAGCTTCTCACTTTATGCGAACCTGCTTCCAAAATGCAAGAGAAAAATACTGCTCAAGCGCCACACGCAGCGAGTGTCAAGCTTTTTTATTTTATCCTTGTAGGGAGTACTCTTAGCCAACAGCAGAAGAGAGGGAAGGGGGAGAACGCCGCCCAGCAGGCAGATATCATTAAACCTGGAAAGAAGATGCCTACGAATTATTGCAACTTCACACTCAGATCCGCTGAGGTCCAGCCAGGTCTGTCCTTCAAAAAAAGCGAGCAGTTACCTTGTGGGTGCAGAGCCCTCGAAAACCTCCTTCCTTGGAAAACCACCCGCCCTTTCGAAGCCCACAATGCCGCCGGCCGTAATATCAGCATCATCGCCTCTTTTGTATTTTTCCCCCTACACCGTTTAACTACAACGCAATGCCGCTCCAAAGATCAGCAGCGCCTTCTCCTAACCCTTCACCCTAGTCTCGAGCTGTTTCCTGTTACGTCATCAGACTGAGACGGAAACAGATTGAACTATAAGAGATCGTCGTTGGAGTGAGTTCGCAAGGGTCGAGGTGAGAGACGGCCTCGCAGATAACTTTGGCGAGGATTTTATGTCTGGTGGCTCAACATTTGGAGCGCTTCCGGGTTGTTTTTTTGCGCCAGTTTCTGAGGAGAGGGTTTTTAAATGATTTGCTTATTTAACCACGCTTAAGTTAAGTTAACCGCCCAGAGTCTCTAGGAGTTGGGCGGCATATAAATTTAATAATAATAATAGTTATTATTGCTGTTATTATTACTCGCTCCAATCATAACCGACTGAGCTGCGAGATTAAAGTAACAGAGAAACGCATAACGTCGTCTGTCCTGGCAATCCACTTTTTAGCTGGTCGACGTATCACGCTATACTGTGATGTAATTTAATTAGTTTGAGCTTAGTGCTGTGTGAACTCAGCCATAGTTTATATTTAGCGTTATATGTGAAGGTAGCCAATTGAACCTCTGCCTATAAGCCATGATTAAACAAACCCTGGTTTTCTATATCTCTTTGCTGCCGCCTAGTGATTGTCCCGATTTCGTTGCTTATAGATACAGTATGGTAGTTGTAGCTTATGTAAACCCAGTCACTTTTAAGACATCATAGGAGTTCAGGAACTCACAGTGATGGAACATGGAAAAAAGACAGGCCCATAATATTTTTAAACTTCGAGATTTATGGCCACTTAGCAGAAATCTGGTAGGCCTTTGTTTGTAGTGCATCTTTCCACTAACCATTCACTGTCCTTTTAAAACTAGAGTTTTAGAAGCTGGTAAATTTTCTTGTGAAAAAAGAAAAAGCAGTGCTCATTTATGGATTGAATATAAACTTATGAACAAATTTGAATAAATGTAGTTGTATAAGAGTTTGAATTACTGTCTTATAAATTGCTTAATATGGTATATCAATGTCACATCTGCAGATGTAAAATATATATCTGAGTTATATTAGGTAGTAGTGAATTAAAATAATTAAATTATAGTTAAGCCAGTCATGCTCCCTGTATTAGTTTATTAATATATGCATTCAAACAAATATTAAAACGTGTTCATCTTTTTGATTAGAAGCTACTTAAGGTTTTTAATTTATTTTTGCTAAACAGATCTGCTGGAAGGAGCCACTTATAGCATCAAATCCAATCTCCTGTTCAGTGCAGGAATCCAAATTAAAGCATCCTTGAAAGATGGCCTTTAATCCTCCATTTGAATATATCCAGTGAAGCAGAGCCCACTATATTTCTGGATAATTGGTTCCACCGTTGAACTGTTTTTACTGTTAGGAAGTTTTTATTAACACTGAAGTGGAAACCATCTTCTTGCAACTTAGATTGATTATTCTGAGTTCTGTGCCCTGGAAAAAAGGAGAATAGGTCTTGATTTTCTTTCCCTCAGCTGTGTTTTCTCAAGACTAAACATAGTCAGTTCCTTTAATCTTTCTTCATAGGTCTTAATTTCTAATCCCCAAATCATTCTTCTCTGAACTTATTACAGTTTTTCCAAATCCTGCCTAACATGATACCCAGAATTGAAACCAATACTCTAGGTGGGATCTAACCAAAGCAGAATAAAGTTGACCAATTATTTCCTGTGATTTGGAAATCACACATCTCTTAATACAATCTAAAATTACATTTGCTTTTTTTGCAGCTACATAACACTGCTGGTTCATATTCAGTCTGCAGTCAGCTGGTGTTCCAAGATCTTTTTCACAAGTACCATTACCAAGCCAGGTATCCCCTATCCTACACATGTGCATTTGATTTTTTCTTTTCTGGGTGAAGAACTTTATACTTGTTTCTGATAGGTTTCATTCTATTACTTTCAATCCATCTCTCAAACTTATCAAGAAGTTTATGGATTTTATTTCTGTCTTCCAGGCTACGGTACTAGCTGTCCCACCTAGTTTTGGGTCATCTATAAATTTGATGGGGATCCTCATTCTAATTCATTATTAATAATACTAAAAAGCAGAAAATCCCTTATGACATCCCACTGAAAACTTGTCCCCAATTTGATGAGACGATGAGCACTTAACGAGTATGGTTTTTGAGTCATGTAGATATAAATTTGTCATGTAACCAGGTCCACACTTAACTAGCTTATAGGAGTGTGCATAATATGTAAAGTATGTTTTGTGTGCATAGAATAAACACTTTGCATCTTGAAAATTCAGCCAGACTGTTCCAATCCAACTAAACCAAACCCTGAATGTCTTGATTGTTCTGGATTTTGATCAAAACAAATCTAGAGAGGCACCTTACCCCTCTCTTCTACCCTCCTCCCAGATGTCCCATGCATTTGCCTTCCCCTCATCTCTCCATGTCTTCCTTTCCCTTACTGCTCTGTAATCACTGCCATGCACTGTCTCTTCCACTGACAGTACTTTTTTCTCCCAATCTCCTTACCCAGGAATGTGCATATTCTGGGTCTGTGAATGGACATAACATACATGTTACAGACTGTGTTGTAACTGAACATGTAGATCAAACATGCATGTTTCAGTCTGGGCACTGAGTGCCCAGAACTGTCTGTTCTGTGCATGGAATGCTTGCCCATCCTTAGCAACTTGCTAATCAGTTAACAACTTTTATCAGAAACTTACTTCCACTGAAAAAGTTATCTTTAAAAAATGGGAAGGGTCATCCGGCAAGATTTGTTCTTGACAAATCTTTTCTGACTTCTGGTAATTACAGTGTAGTTTTTAAGGTGTTTATGGATCTTTACGATCTGGTCTAGAATCTTCCCTGTTATTGATGTCAGAGTGCTGAGTCTGTGAATCCCTGGATCCTCCTTTTTCTCCTTTTTGAAGGTAGGGACAACAATTGCCATTCCTCAGTCATCATTCTCTAGGATTTCTCAAAGATAATGTATCATGTTTCAGCCAGACCACCAGCTAGTTCTATACTATGCCTTCTATAGAAGAACTATATACTGTGAGGGTCAAAAGGAGGGCAGAGAGGATATCTGCAGACTTTTCTCATCCTGGATATAATCTTTTCC